TATATATATATATATATATATATATATATATATATATATATATATATATATATATATATAACACCTTTATATCACAATATATTTTAACATTATTTATAATAACTATATATATGTAATAATATATATTGTTATATAACATATTGTATAAATATGGAATATAATATAAAATATACATTTTTATTATATTAATATATTGAATCTATGAACAAATTTTTTTAAAAATTCTTGTAATTTAATTCTTCTAATTTTTTAATGCTGATAAAATTAAAATTACAAACCATTAATATGCAGTAGTATACAAATTATTACTATACAATACAAATTATTACTATACAATACAAATTATTGCTGTGGCCTCTGATATTTCTATGAAACATATATGTTGAAGAGTGCACTCCATTAATTGCAAAAAGCTGAAATATATTTATCACAGCGTGATAAAATCGTAACATAAAAATAATAAAAGTGTTAAAAAGTCGCATATAAAAACAAACAAAAGGAAACAAGTTCTAACGATCACAAATTTACCTACGTATTTGTGGTTGATATCCAACAATAACATCTAGCTTCTTATTTATTTTCAGCTCATCTCATCGTTGCTTCTCGATAAGGCTCTTTATCAGATCTACCAAAACTGTCAGCTGGCCGCAAGCATACATTACGAAGACGATGATGAGACCATATAGACCTATCCCGATCGATTCAGTGACCACCCCAGCCAAAGAGTGAATTGCAAACACTATTTCGTAGATCGAACTGATTTGCACATCAAACGAAAAGAGCTAAATTGGATAAGGTAAACGTCTGATCGTAGTGTTTTGTGGGGTAATGATTTTTCCTTTAGACAAAGGCATCAATGCTCGAAGCGGAAAACCACTAATGTACAAAAAGACCGAGAAGTTTTTATATGTTATTTTTTCATAATGTTAAAGATTTTTTCTGGTGGAGATTCGAATTTGAACCGAAGACATTTTTTAGATAATTGTCCGTTGTCTTAGACATTACGTCAATTCCTCACTAGATAAAAAGTTCTTTGTATTGCCCATTTAAGATTTAAGGAAGAAAAATCTTAGAGTTTATTGCTTCTTAAATCGCAAAAGATAAAACCGTTTAGCGTATAAATAATATAAGAGAGATCAACACGATAATTCGTGAGCAAACGTTTTCCGGGCCTCACAAATTCGAGCATCGTGTTTTGATTGTCCGTGTTGTCGACGTTCTTCCAATCCTCTTTGAAATGCCTCAAATAGCGTTTGATCTAAATCTCATAAATAATTAAATTGTAATATTTGATGAGGGTAATGCTACCGTAAAGTGTAATTGTAATTGTCCGAAGTCGGGTGCGAATTTTTTTCTCGATTATCCAATAAAGCGTACCGGGTATCAGGGCACAATAAAGAATAATGTACGAAATGGATATTCGCAAAAATTTGCCAATTTTCTCGCAAATCGATCGTTTAAAACATTGATATTATATATATATATATTTTTTTTTTCAATATTTTTTTATAATGTTTTATAAATGTTTTTAAAATGTTGCTTAATAATATCTCTCAGAGCACTGAACATTGCAATAAGGTTATAGGTAAGTTACAAACTTACACATTTTAATGAACATGTTACTGCAATATACCATTAACCTTACAAGATAAACTTATATTATAATATTTTCATAAAGTTAATATAATCTTTAATATTTCAGCAAACCTATATGTAATTATTTCACTTTTTATGTATCTTGAAAATATTACACAATAGGAACATAGTTTATTAATAATCATTTAATTGTATATGCAAATTTTGTTCACATATAGAATTTTTGATTACGAAAATAAATATAACCAAATTAAATTAAAATATTATTTATAAGATTAACCCTAGGTAGTGTTCACTACACTTCAAATATTTTGAGAAATCGTAAAGACCAATATTCATCTTTCAGTCAGTGCTCTAAAGCGTATATAATGTCAATATCAAGATAAACATATTTTACATAAATATTTTATGCATATATCTCTGATTTCCTTTTTATTATATAAAATATTTGAACTAAATAGTTTATTTTTGTAGTTATATTAAATAATGTTATAAGAAAATTATAATTGCTGCTTCGGCTACATATGGGAATAATACAAAACACTTAATACAAGTTGAAAAAATAGCGCAATAGCCAAGGTGGTAGACTAGAAATTTTTGAGGTTGTCTGAGGTCTCGAGTTCACGTCCGACCAGTACTGAGTAAATTTTCAGGTATAAAAATAGTGAGAAATCAAATAAAAGAGCTGAATTTCATTTAAAATCAACATAAGTTGACTAGTTGCAATCGTTTCTGCAAAATATATCTTTTATTAAAAATATTGCAAGATTCTAGGCATATTATTTTAACCTTAATGTAACGTTCCGTACAAAGAACGTTTCATGTTAATGAAACGTTTAATGTTAATGGAATATGGATAACTGAAGTATAGACAAACATTTTCATATTATCAGAAGGTTAATAGCAGGTTAACTAACTTCAGTGTAATGTTAGCATCTTACAATTTAAAGTTGCTGTAATCTTATGGCAATATTAATGTGCTGTGAGGGTAATTATGATATTTATTCAAGAAACGTTATCACAAAATGTTCAAGCAACATTAGCGTAACATTAATTAGCACAACAATATGACATATATGAATTCAACATTACCGAAACCTCTAAATCGGTGACAAAGATTTGTTCGTAATGATGTTGTGTACAACGTTAGATACGACATACTTGAAAACGTTACATGTTACTCAATATCGTTATAATAATGTTATAGTAATGATATTTTGCTTACTGGAAATGTTCGTTAAGTGGCACTTCGCGCATTTTAAAAATCCCCTCGCAATTCCGTATGAGAAAATTATCCTTTACTCAAGTTTGATTCTACTGAGTTACATCTAAGATATATGAGATTGAGACGCGAATGAAATCAGTACTGATCGTTGAAGTAAAAATCCGCGATAAGTTAAATTTGCTATTAGAATGCGCTTGCGTGCATTAAAACTATAATGTCGCATGAGTCAGAGAAGTTGAAACCACAAAGTTAGTAAAGCAACTTGTTCATCTGAAGTCGAGTTTACTTGTCTATACAACTTATTTTTGTCCGCTAACTTTCACGATATGAAAACGTAAACTGCGTCAGATTTTGCTTTTTGTCCATTATATAGGTGCAATATTAATTATAAAATTATGAGATATATTGAAAAAAATAATGAAATAGTAAATAGTTAATATTTTATAAAAGTTTGAATTCTCGAGAAGTTCTCTAGAGAGAATTAATATCTATATTAAAATGTGAAGAAGCTTATAGCATCATTCTTTACACTCACATACAAACTAGTATAAAGTGAAGAATATTGATGAAAGTCTTGCACATAATTTTGAATCCACAATAATATGTTTTGTTTTAAACTTGGGCTTTGGTTCAAGGGTGGATTTTATAACAGACAACAAGTTCTACGACAAAAGTAGAGACCAAATATAAGTCTTAAATATGAGTATAGAGGGCTCTTCTCTTTCTTCGTAGAGAATGTCGTAAAGTTAAACGTGTTTTTCGCATAATCAGGAAAGTAGGTGACAGTAATTTTTATATTTGGTACCATATCTATTTTAGTTACTTCTGTCTTTTTCTCTTCTCCTATTCAGTTATAAGATTATTTGGGTTAGCAAATTTAGCGAATAATTGCGTGTATAATACTGTGAGTGCTATACAGGCAGCACATGGATCGTGCTTATCAGAGTTTTCCGCACTACTACACTCTAACTAATCATCGGCCGACGTTTAACCGCCGCTTACTAATTAATATTAACGTGATATTATAGGGGAGACTGGCACATGAAAAGTGCTAATTAACGCGGTCTAGGCACTGCCTTTGTAGCACTTCACTCACATTATCACACGCGATCATTCGCTACTTAACAGTAATTCTAATAATCATATAACTATATAAGAGACAGAAAAGACAGAAATAGCGAAAGTTAAATATGCTTATCAAGAATTCTCTGCAATCTACTTTCCTGATTACCTATAATACAACACGTTAACAACATTACGATGATCTATGCAATAAAAGAGAAGAGCATTTTATACTTTTGATATCTAATTATTTTTATATCAACATTGCATACTTATAATAACACTTCAATATTACTCTTATATATCTATAAATAAAAATATTGTAACTTAGTCAACAACTGATCGAAGTAGATTTAAATAACCCATGGCTGTCTTAACAACCTAAAATACAACATATTTATGTTAATCACTTGCCCATTTCACAACAGGAAACAGTATAAGTTCTGATATATATATATATATATATATATATATATATATATATATATATATATA